CCCCCACCGTCTGGAGAGTCCCGTTCAGGAAACTCATGCTCCCGGGCTCGGTTCTGCTGGCCCGAGGTCTGCGGAGCTGGGACCACACCTGAAACTCCAGGCTGGGAGGAGGGAAGGAACCAGTGGGAAGCTGGGTGCTTGTGAACACCTCCAGGCCAAGGTGGTGCATCCAGGTGGGACACGGATCCCAGGATCCCACGTTCCTGGGTCTTGTGACGGATTGCTTCCTAGGTCTTCCCAGGGCCGGGTACAACCACTCCTCTCCCCCCTCCCCGCCCCCCCTTTATCGCTGTTTCGAATCTGAACTATTCCAAGCATTCATGAAATGATAACAGGCTGTTGGCAGCTTCATCTTCTCCTGACATTTTTGCCATAGTTGCTTCAGATTCTGAAAGGGAAACAGCCTGACGAGAGGAACGTCCATCCGCGGGATAGGTGGCTAAGAGCGGGGACTCTTAGCCGGCCTTGGCTCAGGCCGCGGCCTGGCCCCTTACCAGTTGAGGGCTCCTGGGAGTAGAGATCACGGGCCTGAGCCTCCCTTTCCCCCTCTGTGGAATGGGGCTAATAAAAGTGCCTATCCCGGGGGCGCCTGGGTGGCTCGGTCGGTGAAGCGTCCGACTTCGGCTCCGGTCACGATCTCACGGTTCGTGGGTTCGAGCCCCGCGTCGGGCCGTGCGCCGACAGCTTGGAGCCTGGAGCCCGCTTCGGATTCTGTGTCTCCCTCTCTCTCTGCTCCTCCCCCGCTTGCTCTCTGTCTCTCTCTCTCTTTCGAAAATAAAGAGGGATTTAAAAAAAAATTTTTTTTAATCTTTAACATTTTTAAAAGGTTTTTTAAAGAATTAAAAAAAAATAAAAACATTAAGAAACAAAGAAAAGGTGAAATGGGTTCGTGTGGGTAGAGCACTTAAAACCAGCGGCGGGCCAACACCCTCCCCTCCCCGCGGCCGTTCCGACACGTGTAACCCACAGATCGATACCGATGCGCTGCCCTGGTCACTTGGGGACGCGTGAAAACGCTTGAGTGGCCCAAAGCACCTGTTCCCGCTGAGGCTGGACGAGGCAACACTTTGACTTCTCATTTCACTTCTCACGATGCTTAGCGCCACCTGTTTACATCCTTCCTGCTTCTCGTTGGCAGTTTTGCTGTTAAAAACGGCCCCCCCCCCCGCCTAGCACCGAGTGCCGTCCCGGGTCCCCGAGGCGGCCGTGCAGAACGGAGGCGCCTCGGATAACGAGAATCGACTGTTTTATCAGGTCGAAGCCTCAGTGAATTATGTCGTGTTAAGTGCCAGCTTCGTGCCCAGCTCAGGTGACACCGTGTGGCCAGCCATCGCGCTCCGTGCGCGCGTCTCGTGCACGATAATGTCCGGTGTTGGCTCTCGTGCTGTTAAACTTGTGTTTGGCCCCTTCCTTCCTCACTGCAGCTCCCTCCCTGTCCCTGGCTTTCTGTCTCACAGCCTCCCTCTCGTTCTCTCTCCACAGCTGGCCCCCGAAAGGACACTCCCCAAGTCCCCAGCCGGGGGCCCCGCATAGACCTGGAGTGGACACCCCCTCCTTCCCTTCATGATTCGTTTGTAGCGCAGGTAACTGGTCGAGGGTCCCGGTTCGTGCCCCGAGGGGCGTGTGTCCCTGATTCCACCTCCCTGGGCCCACCTTGACCCCTGGGCGGAGAAGGAACGTTCCTTCCTGGCGGAGCCTGGCTTAGCCCCTCCGTCTCCGGCCTTGGACCGCCCCCGCCCCCCCCCCCCACTCCCCACCCCAGCCCCTGCCCTGGGCTGGTTGGGGAGGGCAGGGCTCGCCGGCCACAGGAAGAAGGAAGCGTTGGTGGGGCTGGGATGTGGAGCCGGACAGAACATGTTGTCACCGCTGCGAGAGGCAGCGAGAGCCGGGGAAGGACCTCCAGGGACGGTCCCCGCGGCCAGTCATTGCTGTGTGTTGGGGGGAGCCTGTGCCTGCCGGCTTCGCAGGCCCCGAACCAACTATGAGAAGCCCCTTCCCGAGACTCTTTATGCCCCTGGAGTGCTTGGGGGATCCTGGGAGTTGGGGTGACGGTTGGGGGTGGCGGTCACAGAACGCTGTCACGGGGGAGGGGCTCTAACCAGCTGGGGGCGCACGTGAGGTTTTGTATGTGTCTGTGTGTCGCGGGGAGGGGAACCCATGACAGTCACCACATCCTCGGTGAGGTTCGGGACTGTTCCCGCGTAGGGCAGACTCCCCCCCGCCACACCCTGCTCCGGGCCGGACCCTGCGTTCAAGGCCTGGCTCTGCCCCCTGTCGGCTGGGAAATGGATGACGGTCTCCACGTCCCCAGTTACTCCTCTGCGACGTGGGGATGGCAGGACCTCCCCCCTTGTGGGGTACCGTGAGGATCGAAAGGGTTACGTGTGCGTGAAGGCCTCAGCGCAGGCCCACATGCGATCAGGGCTCACGTAGTCTCAGTCAGTGTCCTCGTCGGGGGCATCAGATGCCGGGCAAGAGGTCGGGGAGGAGGAAAAGGCAGCTGTCTCCGGGCAGGGGGCGGGGGGGGCTCCTGGAAGGCTCTCCCCGCCCCCACCCACACCTGCAGACTCCAGGGAACAGACACCCTGACCTTCCACGGACGGACGTTGGGCCCAGGGAACTGTCCTTGAAGGGAGGGTCCTGGCGTGCCGCACAGACGTCTAACCTTGTGTCCCCTGCCCTCCTCCCGCCCCACCCCGTGCAGTGGCGATGGATGATGAGGATGGGAGGTGCTTACTAGACGTGATTTGGTGAGTAACGGCCTCCTCCTGCCCTCCCTGTCCCCCCCCTCCCGCCTCCCCCCCTTCACCTCCTCAGTGTCTCTCCTCTTCTGTCTTTCAGCGACCCTCAGGCCCTCAATGACTTCTTACATGGATCCGAGAAGGTGAGTGCTGGGGCAGGGAGGGGCCTCCCTGGGGTAGGGGCCTGTGGAACTGGGGGCCGAGAGACCTGTGCCCCGGATTCAGTAAACCTCCGCCTCGCGCCTTCTGTGAGCTGAGCCCCCGGGGTCATGGCCAGAGCAGGGGAGGTGGCAAATCCCTGCCCTCACACCGTACACATTTCCTCGGGGAAACAAAGCAGTCACCGACCGCGCCCTGCAGAGCAGGATAAAAATAAGAATGTCACTTGCACAACAAAACGGTTTCAAACAAAGGGGGGGGCGAGGGGGCGGCGGGGGGAGGCACCCATGCTGCTCTGGGCAGAAGGGCAGGCAGAAAAATACAGGAAAACATGCTACGGTCAGTGAACAGAAAGAAGGCTGGTGGGGCCGGACTGAAGGGGAAACTGGTGGGTGGGGGGGACACTGGAGCGGACAAAAGTCACAGGTCATGAGGGGCCTGGAGCAAAGCAGGAAGTAGAAACGGGCTGAGCCATGAGGAGTCGTATCGGTTGTCTGGGGCTGTGTAACAAATCATCCCGACGCTTAGTGACTTAAAGTTTGTTAGCGCTGTCACAGTTCCTGAGGGTCGGGACTTGGGCAGCCGCTTCGCTGGGTGCCCCTGGCGCGGGGGCGTCTGTCCTGAGGTTGCAGGCAGGATGTCGGCCGGGGCCGCTGTCATCCGAAGGCTTGTCCGGGGCTGGAGGACGGGCTTCCACGATGACGCGTTTCTGTGGCTGTTGGCCAGAGGCCTTGGCTCCTCAGCACATAGGCCTCCCTGTAGGGACAGCTTGAGTGTCCTCAGGACGTGTCACTCTGGCTTCCCCCACAGTGAGTGACCCCAGGGCCAGGGCCAGGGCCAGGAGGAAGCTCAGTGCCTCTTATGATCTCACCACCGAAGTCACTCTGTATTCGTGAGAAGTGAGTCACTGAGCCGGCCTGTGATCACAGGGAGGGGAATGTAGCGCCACCTCTTGGAAGGAGAAGCGTCAGACGACTGTGGCGTGGCGGCGGGACGATGGCGGCTGGGGCCGTGGGGTGGGCACTAAAGGGGGGGGGCTCCGGGCGCTGGCTTTGGGGTCTGTCTGGAAGGCAGAGCCGACTAGACCCGCTGGTGGAGGAGTCGTTGAGGAGGAGCATGTGCGAACGCCTCCTAGATTTGAGTGGGTTGTGTCTTCTGAGGCTGGGGGTTCGGGGGGCAGATTCCACGAGCGCAGGGGGGGCCCCTCGTTGGTGGTGCTGGGCGCCCGGGGTTCTGGAGAGACATCCACATGGAAAGAGACTGGGGAGGCTCAGCCGTGGACGCACATTCCGTGGGCCCTTCCGTGGACGTCAGGTGCTGTTTCAGAGATGCGCCTTGGGAATCCGGTCCCTGCCCTCCCGGAGTCAGGCTGGGCATGGGCGCTAGGTGCCCAGATGGTGGGGGGGTGGGGGGCACGCCGGGCACTTGGGCCGCGTAGAGAAAGGAGTGACTTGGTAAGGAGAGACGGGTGGTTGTTGGGAGAAGGGGGCGGGTCCGTCGGGCCCCGAAGGATGTGCTGTGATGAAGGCTGAAGGCGGGGCTCAGCTTGGGCAGAGGCACGGAGGCAGGAGTTTAGAGTTCAAGGCAGGCGCGTCGGGAGAGCCTCGGACTCCGTGCCGGGGACACCTCGGGTTTTAAACACGCCGCCAAGCCCCTCTCTTTGGGGCCTCTTTTCTGGAGGCAGAGTGTCCCGCGGTGCTGACGCCCCAGGTGCTGTCTTTGTCCCCTGGTCCGCTGTGACTTCAAATTGGTTTTTGTTCTAGAGCAGGGCCAGCCCGCTGCCCAGCTGACCTTGACCTGGGGTGGGGGCGGGTCTTGTTGCAGCTGGATGGTGACGACCTCCTGGATAACCCCGGGGAGGCCCAAAGTGCCTTCTACGAAGGTCCTGGGGTAAGTGACTCAGGGGTTCGGTGGGGGGCGGGGGGCGGGCTCTGAGTCACGGCCCGTGGTGCCCCTGGAGGCGGCCGGCGGGAGGGAGGCCCTAACGGCAAGAGGGAAGGGGGTCACGTTCACCCCCTGAGGCGCTTTGCCTGGAGGAGGGTGGGGGGGCCACAGGGGGTGGAGGTGAGACCGGGTGGGGTGGCCCTGGCTCTGCCCACCGGCTCCTCGGGAAGAAGGGGAGCGTCCCGGGTCCCTGGCTTTGAGGCAGAGGCCAGCTCTGGGGTTCACCAGGGGACACTCGTCTAGGGAGCAGGCAGTGCGGGGGCCTGGGGGCCTGTCCCTGCTTAGCCGTGGTTGGGTGTCCCCCAGGGGAAGGGGAGGGGACCGACTGACGCAGACCTCAGTCTCCATCTGGAAAATGGGGGCACGGGTGCCAGGCAAAGCGCAGAGTGGGGAACGCAGTGGACGTTAATTAAGCACCTGCTGTGTGCCTGACCATCATGCCGCTTGACCTTTCCTCTTCCTCCTCTTCTGCTGCTTCTCCCTTCCTGCCCCCTTCCCAACCCCCCTTCGCCTCATCCCTCCCCCTCCTCCTCCTGTCTTCTCCCTCCTCCCTCTTGTCATAACTGTCATTTATTAACACTTACTGTATGCTACCCAGCCCTTTCCGGTCATTTTCACGTAGTGCTCACGACAGCTGTGACAACATGTTCTGAATAATTTTTATCTTTCATAATATAAATGATTAATCTAGAACCTGACCAATAAACCTTTATTTGACCCTTTATAGACCCAGGAACAGTGACGAGCCTGGATTGTGACTTTGTGATTAGTCATGTTGCCATCCTTTTTAAGTTTCTTTTATCTATCTATCTATCTATCTATCTCTCTATCTCTCTATCTAGAGAGTAGGGGAGGGACAGAGAGAGAGGGAGAGAACCCCAAGCAGGCTCCATGCTGTTAGCCCAGAGCCAGACACGGAGCTCAGTCTCGCGAACCATGAGCTCCTGACCTGAGTCGCAATCAAGCGTCGGACGCTCAACCGACTGAGCCACCCAGGTGCCCCGTATCATCCTTTTCTAACACCCGTGAAGCCCGGGGTCCGGCTTCAAGCCCCCTGCGTGCGATGTCCGTGAAGGTCATGACCGTCCTAGGAGGCAGGTTTGGTTGTGGCCATTTAAGTGCTTAAGAACTCAGAACCGTCCGGGTCTGGGCTGGGGGCTGATCGGGAGCCACATCCTGCCAAGCGGGGGCGCGCAAGTCTCGCCTGTGCCACATTTGCTCAAGTGCCCGTGCGTGTCTCGATCGTACGTGCCTGGATCGCAATCCGGGACAGCGTGGAAGGCGCTGAAGATGCGTCCGACTCAGCACGGCCGGCCCAGAGTAAGGCCCCCGACGGTAGCTGCCGCTGTCCCTAACGAGCACAGCCCCGGTCTTCGATCCGGAAGCTTTGGGGGCCGGGCGTGTTTCAGAACTCCGGGTCCTTTCAGGGGTTCCGGGAAAGGGATGCGGGACGTCACGCGACACGCTCGCTCCCCTCTCCACGGCCCGCCTCCGGAAGGGTCGCGTCACGTGGGCAAATTGTGGCTCTCCCCGAGAGCGGCCGTAATCACTTTTGGTCAGGGTTTGCTACCAAAAGGGTTAGGAAGGCGTCGGCGGCCTTCGGGGCGCTTCTGAGCGTGGGAGCTGCACGTGGAGGTTTTATGGGCCTTTATGGCTCCTTCGAGGAGAGTTTTCATTCCGTTCCGCTGACGCGTGCAGATGGGGAGAGCGAGGCCGGAGAAAGCAAGCCCCGGGTTGCACGGCAGAGCCCGGCGGAGGCCGGGATTCGAACGTAGGTGGCGGCCACGTCCAGGTGAAGCGTTCTCTCTGGCCGCGCCGGCACCGAGTGCCCTGTGCGTCAGCCCCTGTCCTGCGCCAGCCCCTTGTTAACCTCCGTTCTTCCTCTCCCACCTCGCCCGGCCTCCAGCTCCACGTGCAAGAAGCTTCTGGCAACCACTTGAGCCCGGAGCCCACGCAGCCGGCCCCCAGCGTGGACCTAGACTTCCTGGAAGATGCCATCCTGGGCTCGCCTGCCGCGGGGGGCGGCGGCGGGGGCGGAGGGGCCGCCGACCAGCCCTGCGACATCCTCCAGCAGAGCCTCCAAGAGGCCAACATCACTGAGCAGACCCTCGAGGCCGAGGCCGAGCTGGACCTGGGCCCCTTCCAGCTGCCCACCCTGCAGCCCGCGGACGGCGGGGCGGGCCCGGCGGGGGCCGGAGGGGCCGCGGCCGTGGCCGCTGGGCCCCAGGCCCTGTTCCCGGGGGGCACCGACCTGCTGGGGCTGCAGGCCCCCCCCGCCGTGCTGACCCACCAGGCCCTGGTGCCGCCCCAGGACGTGGTCAACAAAGCGCTGAGCGTCCAGCCCTTCCTGCAGCCCGTGGGCCTGGGCAATGTGACCCTCCAGCCCATCCCGGGCCTCCAGGGCCTGCCCAACGGCAGCCCTGGGGGCGCCGCGGCGGCCACGCTCGGCCTGGCGCCCATCCAGGTGGTGGGCCAGCCGGTCATGGCACTCAACCCGCCCGCCTCCCAGCTCCTGGCCAAGCAAGTGCCCGTCAGCGGCTACCTGGCCTCGGCGGCCGGCCCCTCGGAGCCGGTGACCCTGGCGTCGGCCGGCGTCTCGCCCCAGGGGGCGGGCCTGGTCATTCAGAAGAACCTCCCCACCGCCGTGGCCACCACGCTCAACGGGAACTCGGTGTTCGGAGGGGCCGGGGCCGCCCCCGCCGCGGCCGGCGGGGCGCCCTCGGCGGCCCCCGGCCTCGGCTCGTCGCCGCTGGTCCCGGCGCCCAACGTGATCCTGCATCGCACGCCCACGCCCATCCAGCCCAAGCCCGCCGGCGTGCTGCCCCCCAAGCTCTACCAGCTCACCCCCAAGCCGTTCGCCCCCGCGGGCGCCACGCTCACCATCCAGGGCGAGGCGGGGGGCCTCCCGCAGCCGCCCAAGGCCCCCCAGAACCTGACTTTCATGGCAGCGGGCAAGGCCGGCCAGAACGTGGTGCTGTCGGGCTTCCCGGCGCCGGCCCTGCCGGCCAACGTCTTCAAGCAGCCTCCGGCCACCACGACGGGGGCCGCCCCGCCTCAGCCGCCCGGGGCCCTGAGCAAGCCCATGAGCGTCCACCTCTTGAATCAGGGCAGCAGCATCGTCATCCCCGCCCAGCACGTGCTGCCAGGCCAGAACCAGTTCCTGCTGCCGGGGGCGCCCGCCGTCCAGCTGCCCCAGACGCTGTCGGCCCTGCCCACCAACGTCGGCGGGCAGATCCTGGCGGCCGCGGCCCCCCACGCGGGCGGACAGCTCATCGCAAACCCCATCCTCACCAACCAGAACCTGGCGGGCCCGCTGAGCCTGGGCCCCGTGCTGGCCCCCCACTCGGGGGCCCACAGCGCCGCCCACATCCTCTCGGCCGCCCCCATCCAGGTGGGCCAGCCGGCGCTCTTCCAGATGCCCGTGTCGCTGGCCGCGGGCAGCCTGCCCACACAGAGCCAGCCGGCGCCCACGGGGCCCGCGGCCACCACCGTCCTCCAGGGGGTCACCCTGCCTCCCAGCGCCGTGGCCATGCTCAACGCCCCCGACGGGCTGGTGCAGCCGGCCCCCCCGGCCGCCACCGGGGAGGCCGCGCCCGTCCTCGCGGTGCAGACGGCCCCCCAGGCGCCACCGGCCGCCAGCACACCGCTGCCTTTGGGCCTCCAGCAGCCACCGGCGCAGCAGCCCACCCCCCAGGCCCCCGCCCCTCAGGCCGCCGCCCCGCCTCAGGCCACCACCCCACAGCCCAGCCCGGGCCTGGCGTCCAGCCCAGAGAAGATCGTCCTGGGACAGCCACCCTCCGCCGCCGCCGCCGCCGCCGCCGCGGCCATCCTCACTCAGGACTCCCTGCAGATGTTCCTGCCGCAGGTAAGTGGCCGGGGAGGGGCGCGGACAGGGGGTGTGTGCTGCGGGGAGGGGCCGGGAGCTGGAGCTCAAGGTGTGTGTGTGTGTGTGTGTGTGTGTGTGTGTGTGCGCGCGCGCGCGCGCGCACGGGGGCGGGGAGGCAGCGCCTGGCAGGGGGGCGTCTGGTGGGCTTGGGAGGGCGTCTCAGAGCGGCACTCCCTGCTCCCGGTGATGCGTGCGTCCCCGAGGGGACAGCCCAACAGAAAGACGAGGAGGGGGACTGACTGGCAGACAGGCTGACTGTCTGCTCTCCTGCTGGAGGGGATGAGAATCAGAGAGAGCCGGGCAAGACACAGACAGACAGATGGGCAGACAGACAGATGGGGCGGGAGGCCGCGGGCGAGGTGGAGCCGGAGGACTGACGGGACCTGAGCGAAACGAACTTGCTGGGGTAGCAGGCTCCCTGGTGCCCGGACCCCGGGGTCCGAGCCGCCCCGGCCTCTGCACCCGGCCTCTCGGTGCCCCTGCGCCCGGTCCCCACCACCCCCTGCTCTGGGACGTTGGGGAGCCCGGGATCTTGGGGTGGGGAGGCTGCGGGGGCCGTGGGGTGACCTTCTGACCCTGTGCGGGCTGCCCGTTTCAGGAGAGGAGCCAGCAGCCCCTCTCCGCAGACGGCCCCCACCTCTCCGTGCCCGCCTCGGTCATAGTCAGCGCCCCGCCTCCCGCCCAAGACCCAGCCCCGACCACCCCCACCGCCAAAGGAGCTGGCCTCGGCCCTCAGGCCCCCGACAGCCAGGCTTCCCCGGCGCCGGCCCCCCAGGTAGATGAACCCCAGCAGCCTCTGCCCCAGCTCAGACCGAGCCTTGCCCCTGCAAACCCCTCCTTCCTGCTCCCCCGCCTCCCCCTCGCTCTGGCTGCCCTGTCTGCCTCTCTGTCTCGCTGGCTTGGGAAAGGTGTCCCTTCGCTCCCCAGATCTTTCCTGAGGGTCTCCTGGTAGCCGTGGACTCCTAGGACCAGAGCCAGGCCTGGGGGAGCCCACACCGTAGGCAGGGACACGGGGTGCACACGGCAGGCACTTCTTTCCTACAGTGACCATTTTCGCCTCCGGAGGAGTAACACGGTCAGAGGGTTCGCATCTCAAAAGATAACCAGAGATGTAGCTGAAAAGCCCTTTCTCCTGAGCCACGGATTCCCGCCCTGCCTCCCCGGGGCGGTGCTGTGCATCCTTGTCCACGCGTGGACAGGCAAGGCGGCGCCTGGATTCTTTTCTTCCCACTTCGTACAAAAGCAGGAGCACACTCCGCATGCGATTTTGCACCTTCTCTCGTTCAGGGACTCATCTCGGAGACGTTGCTTCATTCTTTCGCGGACCGCGCCGTTCTCCGCCGTGCCGACGGGCTGGCATTTATTTAACTGGTCCTTGTTGCCGAGCAGCTAGGTCCTTTCCAGCCTTTGGCTGTGAGGAACCAAGCGGCAAAGCATCGCCGTCTGTACGTCACTTTGCGGGGCGGGTTCTCAAAAAAGGAGAGCGCCGGGTGTCACAGGCGCCTGTGGTTGTGACGGGTGGCGCCAGATCGCCCTCTGTGGAGTATCAGTCGGGGCACCCTTTAGCAGCGGTATGTCGTCTGTGCCCGTTTCTGCACGGCCTCAGCAGTGTATTGAACTTCGCCCGCCTGCCGGGTGAAAAGCAGCTTCTCGCCTTGTTTCGGTTTGCGTTTCTGACCACGAGATTGGGCAGGTGTTCGTAGATGTTTGTGCTTTCCGTGGAATCGCCTGCTCGTACCCCTTGCCATTGAAAATTTGGGTTCCTGGCCATTTTCTTGTTGATTCGTAGCAACTCTTTACATATGAGGAACGTTGGCCTTTGTCTCACGCGAGCCATCAGCACGTGGGAGTGCTTTTCTGGGGACGATGTTGTACTCGCTCAGGAAGGACTCGTGGGTAGGTCGACGAGCGCAGGCAAGGGGCGGAGGAGGAGATAAGTCAGCAAGGTGAGGGTGGCAGAAAGCATCATGGACTTTGGCCTTGGACGACCACGATGTCACTCTCAGGTTCTGCTGCTTGCCCCGTGACCTTCAGCAACCAGTTTCTTCTTTCCTGAAACAGATGGAGAAGCAGAAGTGGGGGAGGGGACAAAAGGCCAGGAGGCGCCCGGCGTGGGAGCAACTCACGCTGGGAGCAGTGTTTCTGGAGCGGGCCAGATACAGGCCTTCCAGAAAGCAGCTTCCATGGTCCGCCGTTCCAGGGCGTTCGTAGGATTTCCTCCGAGCGCTGTGGGTGCCACGGCACACACTTGCCGTGAGCAGTCATTCCAGTTTACCTAGTACCGAGGACGTTCTTAGAAGGCAGGACTTTTTTATTTTGTTTTATCTTATTTCATTTTATTTTTAGTGTTTATTTTTGAGAGAGAGAGAGAGAGAGAGAGAGAGAGAGAGAGAGAGCAAGCAGGGCAGGGGCAGAGAGAGAGAGGGAGACACAGAATCCGAAGCAGGCTCCAGGCTCCGAGCCGTCAGCACACAGCCCGACGCGGGGCTTGAACTCAGGAGCCGCGAGATTACGACCTGAGCCAAAGTCGGACGCTCAACCGACGGAGCCACCCAGGTGCCCCAGGACTTCGTCGTTTTAAAACTGAGACCGTCCCGGGCAAACCAGGATGCGTGTGGTCACCCTCCTTCCTCCTCACGACCTTCCCCAGCCACATCGTCTCAAGCCGTAGCCCGCTCCCTCCGCAGCCCAGCCCGCCCTGGCCCTTGCCTGGTTCGTGTTTCTCCGTAGCACTTCCGGCCGTGTGACCGACTGTCTAGTGTCCTTGTTTACACGGTTCTGGCCATACTGTGAACTCCACGAGGGCAGAGAGTTTTGTCCGTTGTCTCTTTGCCGTATCCCCAGTGGCCAGAACGGTGCCAGGCACACAGCCGACCCTCAGTGAGCCTGTATCGAATAAACCAACGGAGGAAATCATTTATTGAAGAAACGAAACACACGTACGAAACAGCCCCGCCGGTGCTGGCTCTGTGCCGAGTACGCTCCAGTGGAATCAAAGGGAGAGAACGTTCTGGGAGGAGACGCGGTTCAGCTGCAGGTGTGAAACAGCCTGCTAGATGAAAGCATTGAAGGCAGCGGGCTGCCCGTGAGGAGGCCGGCGAGGGTCCTGCTCTAGGCTAAGTGAGCAGGAACAGCCTCTGGGGGGAGGAAGTATTTGAGCTGAGGCCCGAAGAAGGAGAAGTTGTGGGGAAATAGCATGTGCAAAGGCCCTGAGGCCAGGGCCAACTTGGGATGCCAAGAAATGGAAAGTAGGCTGGAGTGGGGGAGGGGGGACAGGGTGGAGCGAGATAGGGTCAGAGAGTTCGGCGGTGCCTCGTGGGCCAATAAGTTGGGCCCTGGCAGTCACGGGGCCATGGCCTTGTCTGATTATACGATTTTCAGTGATCCTTTTGGCTTCCACTGGAGAGTGGTTTGGTGGGCCATGTGAATGGAGGTCCAGAGATCCTCATGGGACGAGGACAAGGACAGTGCTTCAAAGGGGTGGTCACAGTGATGGTGGAGGCAAGTAGACAGGTTCAGGGGACGGTTTGGAGCTCGCTTCAGGATCAGAGGCACGAGGAGGAGGGCATTATGGGAATAACTTCGTGAACGATACCATTTCTCTTACGGTGAGACCTTGGATTGTGAGTAACTTGTCCTGGGAGCGTCCCTCGCAGGCCCTTGTGTTAGCGGACATGTCTAATAAATTGTAACTTGCTAGGCGAGCGAGGTCTCGCAGCCCGGGTCGTACGGGACGCCGAACGCCCCACGATCACAACTGAGCCTGTGGTTCTTGAAATTCACTCTGCTCTACGAGTGCTTTGGATTACAAGCATGTTTCCGGGACGAATTACGCTCGCACACCCAGGTTTTCCCGCGCTTCTGCGTGCTGTTCCAGACACTTTACAAGCCTTAGCTCCTTGAAACCTCCCTCAGGTAGGCGGTGTTATTATCCCCATTTTACAGGTGAGGAAGCAGAGGCACAGGGCGAGGCAGTCGCTTGCCCGCGGTTCCCCAGCTGGTAGGGCCTGGATTCGAACCCTGACAGTTTGTTGCCAGAAACACCCGAGGGATGCAGGAAGCCAGAGCCGAGCGTGAATCGCGGGTCTGCTTCGCGTCGGGGGCTCTGAGGCGCAGTTGACTCGTCTGCAAAATGGGCACGAGGCCACCGGCCTCACGGGCGCTCGGCACGGAGCAGGCATTCGGGGAGCAGATACGTGCCACGAAACAGTGGTAACAGTGCTGTGGCTGACCTTGGAGAAGAGAGGAGAGTGTGCACGGAAGCTGGTTCCCAGTCACACACGCGCGCACACACACACACGGGTCTGCACCGTGTAGGCGGGCTGTGGCTTTTGTGCCTACGAGAGCGCATGGCATGATGGGAGGTTCTGGACAGACATCTGTTGGCTGAGCAAGTAGGTGGGTGGGCGGGTGGGGGGCTGACCCGGCGGACAGGCGGGCGAGCGGACGGACTGAAGCATGAAGGCAACACGGAAACGTCAGCCGGGTCCCGACTTGCGATACGCGTGCACGCTCGTGTGCCAGGCCCGTCCCCAGGCTGGAAGGCTGCCGTCAGGTGGTTCTTTCGTGCGGCCCCCGTCCCCCTGCTTCGTGGCCAGCCTTCTGCAGGGACGTCCGGGGGAGGGGATTGAGTTTGTCGCCGCCCCCCCGCCCCTCCAAATGGCCCCCCGGGGGGGCGCGCCCCCCGGGGGGGGGGGGAACGCTGACCATCCCGCTCAGGGAGCGCAAAGCCTCCCATGTATTGTTTATAGCGGGCTCTGGGGGGAAAAAAAAAAGCCACCACCCTTGTGGCCGTTATTCAACAAGCGTTACTCGCGTGTGGTTGAAAAAATTCAGTTTGGGGCGCCTGGGTGGCTCCCCCCCCCCCGCAGTTTCTTTGTAGAGTGCCATCCTGTGGCGTCATAGGGCAGGCACCGCAGACGTTTGAGGCCGGGTCGTTCTTCATCGTGGGGGGCCGTCCCGTGCACTGTGGCGCGTGGGGTAGCATCCCCGGCGTCCGCCTCCTTGTTGCCAGTAACACCCCTTCTCCAGTTGGGACAACCATGGAGATCTTCAGGGGTTGCCGTGTGTCGCTCGGGGGACCGAATCACCTGGGCTGGGAACCGCCCCTGTGCACTTGGCCAGCATCCCTCGTTGTCTGAACTTGGACCCAGGGAGATGCGAGAGCCCGTGTGTGTGCAGGGTGGACACCTACTTTCCCTTTGCGTTTACACACAGAAGCGCCCCGTCCTGTTCTGTATCTTGCTTTGCCGTTCAGCGATACCTCTCGGACCCCTGACTTGCAGACTTTTATTTTTTTTTTAATGTTTCTTTATCTTCAAGAGGGAGAGAGAGACAGAACGTAAGCAGGGGAGAGGCCGAGAGAGAGAGAGAGAGAGAGAGAGAGAGAGAGAGAGAGAGAATCCGAAACAGGCTCCAGGCCCTGAGCTGTCAGCACAGAGCCCAACGCGGGGCTCGAACTCACGGACCGCGAGATCATGACCTGAGCCGAAGTCGGCCGCTTAGCCGACTGAGCCACCCAGGCGCCCCTCCTCCGTTCTTTTTAAATGCTGGTCACAACCCCACTAAAATGACCGGGCTGGTCACCACCATTAACCAATAGGCACTGGGTGTGGTTTGAAAACCACCGTCGAGGAGAACAGCCGTGGGGCAGTCATCAGGCATGGGGGCTCTGGAAACCCCGCCCTGCCCCTTACAAGGCTGCGACCCCAGCCAGGTGACTGACTTCTCTGTGCCTCAGTTTCCTTCCCTGTAAAACAAGGGTGATGATAAGAACATCTACGTCACAGGGTTGTGGTGAGGAGTAAGTTCATCCGCGTTAAAATGCTCAAACGGGGTCAGGCGTGTTGAAAATGCCACCAGGTGAAAGAAGCCGGGCAGACGCTCTGTAAAGGGCCAGTAGTAACCATTTGGGGCCTTGTGCTCTCTGTCGCGGCCCCAGAGCGCACGTAAACGAGTGAGCGCGGCCGTGTTGCAATAAAACTTTATTTATGGACACTGAACTTTGAATTTCCTATTATTGTCACCAGTCACAAAATATTCTCCTCCTGATTTCTATGCCACCATCTAAAAATGTAAAAAACAAAAAAACACACACACAAAACAAGCCTCTTCTTAGCTTGTGGGCTATATACGGAATGATAGGCCAGGCAGGCCAGGCTGGCCCCGTCGGCCCGTGGGCTGCAGTGCCCCATAGTTTCGTTATTTATTGACATGGTTCCCTGTTGGAGAGAATACCGAAGGTGGCTTCCTGGGCAAACAGCACTTCTATAAATACGCCGGTACCCAGGTTTTGCACGGTGGTGTGAAAATGCCTGCAGGGTACGTTTCTAGAAATGGAACTTCTAGATCAGAGAGTGGATGCGCTTCCCAGGCATTTTATGGAAGGCGTTGAAGCGATTGTGCCGTTGTGGGCTTTTTTGCCCGTGAAGCCTCCTCCGGTGGCTCCTGGCCAGGCCGCGGGATGTTCCGAATTCGGCACGAATGCCTTCTACATCTGGGCAGTGGGACTCTCCTGATGAACGGTCCCCTCATATGGTAGTTTTTTGAAACATGACCGGAAGACTCCTTTCGTGCCGATTTCGAGAACTTCTAAAACACGGAAAAGAACGAAGAAGGAAAATAAGTCTGTGCAGGGGCCACCGGTAACATTTGGGGGAGGGGTCGTGAAGTTTTCTTTCAGCCTGATCTTCTCCCCCAACCCATTTCAGACATTTTTTAATTCGGGGGCGACTGGGTGGCTCAGTCGGTTACGCGTCTTGATTCTTGATTTCGGCTCAGGTCACGATCTCACGGTTTTCGTGAGTTCGAGCCCCTCGTCGGGCTCTGCGCTGATGGCGTGGAACGAGCCTGCTTGGGATTCTCTCTCTCCCTCTCTCTCTGCCCCTCCTCTGCTCGCTGTGCCCCTCTCTCTCTCAAAAAACAAACCAAAAAATAAATAAAACATTTCTAATTTTTAGCGTTAGGCGTTCTGTGCACATGGCTCAATCATCCGAAAGCAGTTCTTAGCATTTTAAAGCCCCACCCCAGGCCTACCTTCCCAACCCACCAGCCCCTGCAGGAAACCACAATTCCTTATTTGGCCTATAGACTTCCGTGTTGCGCGCGTGTGTGGCCGGGGTTACGTGTGGATTTACGTTTCTCCTCCGTCTCCGACCGCCCAGAAGGTAGCACATTCTAGGCCCATCTTGGCGGCGGGTGGAGAGTTTCCTGGATCCCTTGGTGCAGCTGGGCAGTGTTCCTCCATTTCCCTCCGCAGTTGGACGTGAAAATGGGTCCACGGGGCGCTTTTGGTGTGCATTTCTCTGGTTACAAGCGAGGTTGAACATCTCTCGAAATAGATGAGCCTCTGTGTTTCCTTTTCTGTGTGCTGTCTGATCATGCCCTTTGCCCCTTGTTCTCACTGGTTGTTAGTGATTTCTGGAGGCTGATGGCATATGCTCTGAATTACAACTGTTTTCCCCCGTGTTATCATTTGTTTTTTTTTTACTTGGTTGGGGAGTGGGGGGGGGGGGGTTGCTGTGTTTGTCTGTATACATATATTTTTTTCATTTTTAATGTTTATTTTTGAGAGGGAAAGAGACAGAGTACAAGCAGGGGAGAAGCAGAGAGAGAGACAGAGAGAGACACAGAATCCGAGGCAGGCTCCAGGCTCTGAGCTGTCGGCACAGAGCCCGACGCGGGGCTCAAGCTCACGAACCGTGAGATCATGACCTGAGCCAAAGTCGGATGCTCAACCGACTGAGCCACCCAGGCGCCCCTGTATTTGTCTGTATTTTTAATAAGTAGGGGACGAATTTTTTTTAATTGTTATTTTTAAATGTTGAAAAAGGATTTGAAACATACAGCAACGTTCTAGGAACTGTAGAGAACCCATGGGTGTTCTTTGCTCTGTAACAGGATGTATTAGTTATCTGTTGCTGCGTAACAAATTGGCCCCCCACACTGAGCAGCTTTAACCAATAAGCATTAACTTACCTCGCATAGTTCATGAGGACTGGGAATCTGGAAGCAGCTTAGCTGGAATCTGCTGGCTCACGGCCTCTCATGAGGAGGTCAGTTAGGGCTGCCGTTATCCGAAGGTTTGTCGGGGCGGGAGACTATGCTTCCAAGGGGGCGCGCTCACGCACCCCTGGCAGATGGCCTCAGCTCCTCCCCACGCAGCCCTCTCCAAGGGGCACCTCAAAACCCGCTCCAAGGTTTGCTTCCCCCAAAGTAAATGATCCACCAGAGAGTCCCGGGACGAAAGCCGCGGTCTTTTCTAGAACTGCATCTTGGAAGTGGTGTATGCCCATCTCCGCCAAATCTGGTGGTCCCAGAGACTAACCCTGGGACGAGACCCAGGGTGGGAGGAGACCGAATAATGAGGAGGGAGGTGGGCATCGGTGGGGGCCGCCTCGGAAGCTTGGCTGCCGCCCCGATGCACCCGTCGGCCGCGTGCTGTGCGGTCTTTATCCTCCATTCTCTCGAGGTGTATCCGTTTTTATGCTGAAGCATATGCGTCTCAATCGCAGACGTACTCCTTTCCTCCTTAATGCCTCAGCCTTCGAGAACAAGAGTGTTCTCTGACTCGACCGCCGCCCAGTTACCAAATGCAGCAAATTGAGCATTGAGACAGAACCATTGTCCATGGTGCGTAATTTATGTAGCCACTTGTCCAGCGGTCAGGTAATACGTTCCTCTCCTTACTTCCCTTAGCTTGCCGGCCGTCGTCTGGCCACCTCGCTCAGCTTCCCGCCTCACTTACTTGGGCTTCTCGAACCTGCTCTGGCCACGTGGGTTGTTTCCCCGCGTTCTCTGTTGTAAATACTCCCCCAACCATTCAGCAAGTGCCTGAATGGTTCCCGTCCCAGATTCCTAGAGGGCGGTGTACCAGGTCAAAGTCATGACCCTTTCAAAGCCCCCAGGCCAGGGGGCCCACCCGGGCGACAACCTCACCGGCCCCGTGTGAGAGCCGAGGGCCTCTCGGATCTCTCCTTAGAGGTCGCAAGCCTTCGGGGAGGTGTGGATTGATTGGTTTGGGGGGGGCTTTCGGTTTGAACGGCGGGAAGTTCTTCAGGGCCAGCCTCGGAAGGGTCCGGGGCGTTGGAGCCTTGACATCATGAGTCGGCCCACGTTGGGGGCTCAAGGCAGAGAGCCCCGGCTTTGGAGCCTGGTAGCCCGGGTGGCCTCGGGAAGTCCCCTGAGCCCGAATCCTTCCCCATCAACTGGGAAGTCACTGGGCGGGGTGAGGCAGGGGGACTCGGGACCAGCCCGTCTCGGCACCCTGACCTCCGTTTCCCCCCCGCGTGAAGTGGTTTCAGCGTCTTCTCTGCTTTCAGGCCCGTGGAGGGACCACACGTAAGTGGTTGCAGGTGGCCATCCCTGCATACATCAGTGTGGGCTGTCCCCGGGGTGTGGATCCCGTGACAGCAGAAGGGGGCCAGCCCGGGGGCGGGCACACAGCTGGTGCTCACGGGTTAGACGGGGGCTGCCGGGGTCGTGATTCGGGAGGGGACAGCGCAGAGGCACTCGGTCGGAGGTGTGTTTTAGGCCAGGTCACCGTGTACGTGTAACAGACCCGCGCCCGGACCGCGTGTGCCCGTCTGAGAGACACAAACACACAGACACACGCACACGTGGCCCCCCGGGCAGGCCCGCAGCCACAGCCACACAGGCACACGGGGGCAGAGGTCGCGGACACTTACAGGGCCCACGGCTCTGGACCGGCGTCCAGAGGGACCTGGCCCTGACCCTCAGTTGCCACCCTCGTCCTGGGCGCTCTGGGGCCCCCAGCCCCCCCTATCGGTGCTGGTGTCCGTGTTCCCGGCTCAGCCGGACGGCCAGGCCCCTCGGGGCTGGCGGCCGGGATGCCGCCCCTGTCCGGCCGCCTCCTTCCCCTTTGCTGCTCTGCTCGCGCTCCCTGGCCCCCCTGCCTCCCCGCTGGGCAGCTGGTGTGGTGCCCCTGCCGCCCGCCCGCCCGCCGTCACCACTGCTTGCCCCGCTGGTGCTCCTGAACCCTGCAGAGCTCACCCGCGTGGGGGGGGAGGGGGGAGGGGACCTCCAGGGAGGGGGTGAGATCAGAGGAAAAGGGACCGAAGTGGGGTGGGGGCAGGTGGAGGGGTGGGGTCGGGGGACCCGTAGGCGGGTGGTGCGGGCTGTTCGGAAACGAGGGGTGGGAAGGAGAAGCCGTGCTGAGTCCTTTCTCTCGAGACAAGGGGTGGCTCGGGAGGAGGTCGTTTGGTGGGGGCGGCTGGGGTGCCCAGCGTACTGGGGCAGCGGGAGCCAAGGTTGGTTCTGACCCCCGCCCCCTCCCCTCTCCCTCCCTCCCCCTGCCCAGATCCCGGCAGCGGCTCCACTCAAGGGCCCAGGCCCCTCCTCGTCCCCGTCACTACCTCACCAGGCCCCTCTGGGAGACAGCCCCCACCTGCCCTCCCCACATCCCGCCAGGCCCCCCTCCCGCCCGCCCTCCCGCCCCCACTCCCGCCCGCCCTCCCAGCCCCAGAGCTTGTCCCGCCCGCCCTCAGAGCCCACCCTGCACCCTTGCCCCCCGCCCCAGGCGCCCCCGACTCTGCCCGGCATCTTTGTCATCCAGAACCAGCTGGGGGTCCCGCCACCGGCCGGCACCCCGGCCCCCACGGCCCCAGGCCCCCCCCAGCCCCCGCTGCGCCCCCCCTCCCAGCCCCCGGAGGGGCCGCTGCCCCCGGCTCCCCACCTCCCGCCCTCCTCGGCCCCCTCCGTCGTGGCCTCCACGGACGCGTCCGCCAGGCTGCAGGCCCCGACACCGCCTGACTTCCAGCTGCAGTTCCCGCCCGGTCAGGGGCCCCACAAGTCCCCCACGCCCCCTCCGACCCTCCACCTGGTCCCTGAGCCCGCAGCGCCCCCCCCACCGCCTCCTCGGACCTTCCAGATGGTGACCGCCCCCTTCCCGGCGCTGCCCCAGCCGAAGGCTCTGCTCGAGAGATTTCACCAGGTAATCGGAGGCAGGGACCAGCCCCGCCGCCCGCCCTGCGAGCCCTGGCCTCCCCGCACAGTCTTGACGGGGAGACCCTCCCCAGCCCTGGCGCCCGGCCGCCGCCACGCCTAGGTGCCACCTACCCTCCAACCACCTGTCCCCCGTCCTCAGGTGCCGTCCGGAATCATTCCCCAGAACAAGGCCGGGGGGGCCCCCGCCGCCCCGCAGACCTCCGCCAGCCTGGGGCCCCTCGCCAGCCCCACCGCCTCGGTGCTGGTCAGTGGGCAGGCCCCATCCGGGACCCCCACCGCCCCCAGCCATCCCCCTGCCCCGGCACCCATGGCCACCGCAGGTAGGGGAGAGGTAGCCCCACGCAGGAGAAATGGGGGGGGGGGCTGAAGGCAGGTGGGCAGGGGGAGGGGGTGCGGGCCGGGGCAGAGCTGTGGGTGTGTGAACCAAGGGGTCACCCGGACCTCACGGGACAGGGAAGGTGCAGCAGGAAGGGCTGTCTCCCCCGATCCGAGGGGGCACTCAGTTCAGGGCCAGGCCGGGCTACCGAGGCCAAAGAACCAGAGGAAAGTGGGCATGGGCTTGGGGGTCACAACTTGGAGGGGCCTTTGTGCCAGTGACCCCTGAGCCCGGTCTGCCCCCACCCCCACCCTCAGGCCTCCCTCCTCTGCTTCCTGCCGAGAGCAAAGCTTTTGCCAGCAACCTCCCGACCCTGAGCGTGGCCAAGGCCGCCGCGGCCGGGCCGGGGAAGTCTTCTGGGCTGCAGGTAAGGGGCCACCAGAGTGGGGGGCGCTCTAGGGCCAAAGCAGCGTCACCGGGGAACCGGGAAAGGGTCCGGCGGGACAGAGGAGGCCAAGCGACAGGTGCCCAGTCTGGGCGGTGGGTCCAACACCAGGTCAGCCCGGTGGGTGGGTGCCTGTGAGAGCATGAGACGGACGGAGAGCCACAGACCCCGAGACAGAGCGTGATGACAGGAGTGATGGCCCGAGTGGGTCCCTGGGGGCGGCAGCCGGGAGAGGTTGAGGCTGGAGGAGGAGGGAAGGGTCGGGGAGTCGTGCCATGGGGGGCCCAGACTGGAGGGGGGCAGAGCAGTGTGGGGGAGACTGAGGCAGAGACCGGCTGCAGGAAGTGCAGGGCGGAGGGGGGAGGAGGGAAGGCAAAAACACAGCCGGTGGAGGGACCAGCATGCCAGTGTCTGGGAGGGCCTCGGAGGCCAGATCGCCGCCGGTGGTGGCCGAGAGGGAAGTGGGGGCGACTCCGGACAGTCAGCAGGGTCGGGGGGGGGGGGGGGGGGGGCCGATACCCACGCTGGAGAAGGGGCGGGAGAGAGCCAGGCAGGTTCGACGTGACAGGCGGCGCGTCCCGTCCCGGGGCCGGGACCCCATCGCGGGGGGGTCGGGCGGGGGGGGGCATTGGCCCGCTCACCTTTGCCAAGGGCCAGGTAGAAAGGGGGTCCGGGCGCCGAGGGCAGGCCTCTCTGCGCCGATACCTCTCACCCGCCGGTCTCCTTCTGCAGTACGAGAGCAAGTCGAGGAAACCCCCCACCCTTCAGCCCAGCAAAGAAGCCTGGTGAGTTGCCGCCCCGCGCCCCGCCCCCCGCCCCCCGCCTTCCCGGAGGCTGGGAGCAGGCTGTGGGGACCACCCTTCAGAAGGGGTTAGCTGTGTGAGTTGGGGCAATAGGGTTCCCCCGCAGACCCTCGGCTTCCTCTCTAGAAAATGGGGTGGGAGTCGTAGCGGTCACAGGGCAACGGGTGTGGGTTCCTGGACGCTGGTAAGACGGGCGGGGGTTCGAGGGAAGAGGTGGATGGGAGTCCAGGTTGGTGCGTAGATCGTTGTGGGTCCGCGGGGCTGTTCGGATGGTATTTGGGTGGACGGACGATGGGGGGCCTGGATGGGTGTGGGGGTGGATAGATGGACATTCGGGTGGGCGGGGGGTCTGGGCGGGCGATGGGTAGACCTCGGGTGCTCGCCTGCATGCCCTCTCTCGTCTGCCCTCCCACGGCAAGTGTTTATCCCACGGGCCCAGCCCTGTGCTGGATTCTGAAAACACAGGACAAGGATCCTGTGAAAACACAGGAGAGACAGTCACACCATAAAGCGATATAAGTCACGGCTACGGGCTGTGGTAGAAAACAGCCCTGGAGAGAATTGGATCCTACCCGCCCACCTCCCTCCCCCCCTTCCCAGGGTTGCGGTTGGGACTGAGGCAGACTGGGGACATGCTGACCCCTGGCGGCAGGAGACGGTAGAACAGTAGAGCCTGGGAGGATGCGCTCCAAGCCCTGGCATCCGGCTCCCAGCCCTGCCTCTCCCTCGCCCCGAGTCCCCTGGGTGGAGGAAGGTCACTCCTCTGGGCCTCGAGTCCTTCATCTGTAGAGTGGGGACAGTGAGCGCGCCTACTCCCTTGGGCTGTTGCCAGAGTCCGTGAGACAGAACGAGGCTGCTCAGCACGCATTAGGACGTTTCCCCGGTTGTGGGCACTGGGGGGCCGGGACCTGGTTTCTCCCGGCCTCACCACCAGCTCTGTGTGTGTGTGTGTGTGTGTGTGTGTGTGTGTGTGTGCGCGCGTGTGCCTGTGCGTGTGCCTGTGCGTGTGTGCCGTCTCTCCCCACCCCACCCCACCCCCCAGTTTCCTGGAACATTTGCACAAACATCAGGGCTCCGTCCTGCACCCTGACTACAAGACAGCCTTCCCCTCCTTCGAGGATGCCCTGCATCGCCTCCTGCCCTACCATGTCTACCAGGGTGCCCTCCCCTCCCCCAACGACTACCACAAAGGTGAGCCCCCCCCGTCCCCCCCCCGACTCTCCCTACCTGGTCTCTAGCGTGGGGAGGGGCGTGGGGAGGATCAGCGCGAGCCCCGCCCCCCCAGCGTCTGTGCCTCTGGACCTCGTCTCTTCTTCCTTAGTGGATGAGGAGTTTCAGACGGTCTCCACGCAGCTGCTGAAACGCACCCAGGCCATGCTCAATAAATACCGCCTTCTGCTCCTGGAGGAGTCCCGGGTAGGGTGCTGTCTGTCCCCCTTCCTCCCCGGGAGAGACCCCGCCCTTTTCCCCTTGCCCCCCCCCCCCCCGGGCAGGGTGGAGGGAGGGAGGGAGGCTGGTGGTCAGATCCCAAGAAGGACAGTTTGGAATCTGCTCCCAGCCTTCTGGGTTTGTCCCCCCCCCCCCCGGCCCTCCCCCTCCTGGCTGCTATTCTGTCTTCTCCCCCCTCAGAGGGTGAGCCCCTCAGCGGAGATGGTCATGATCGACCGAATGTTCATTCAGGAGGAGAAGACCACTCTTGCCTTGGACAAACAGCTGGCCAAGGAGAAGCCCGGTGGGTGGGGAGGGGAGGGGAGGGGAGGGAGGGGGAGGGGGAGGGCGAGGTGCCCCCCAACTCGTGCCCCTACCCTGGAGTTAGACGGGGGCTGGGGAGGGAGAGGTGCGTGGCCTCACCTTCCTCCGCCACTAGGAGGCGCCCGAGCCTCGCCTCCGCGCAGTGCCTGGGTCTAGCCTGACCTGCGGGCTCTGAGACCAGAGAGAAGGGAGTTCGTTTCCTTCATCACTGTTTGTCTGTTGCACTCCATCCTGGCAGAGAGGGGACCCCCCCCCCCCGCAGCCACCAGGAGATAGAAAAGCGGGGGAGCAGAGCCAGGACTAGGGTGAAGTCAGCAAGGCGGCTGGGTGACACAATGTAAGGGCCATTCACAGCGGCCGACTCCTGCTTGCACAGCAGGGGGACTTGGGAATGGCAGGGGCGTCGTAGCCACCCGTGTGTCCGTCCTGAGGGTCTGATGAGCCGCGGCCTCAGCCCGCGGCCCGGCGGCTGGTGGCCGCGGGCTGCTCGCCGCACCGGGGCTCCCCCTGGCCGCGCCCTTGGCGGGCGCCTCGCGCCTCTCCTAACCCCCCCCCCCCCCCGCGCTTTCTCCGCCCCCTGGTTTTGCAGACGAGTATGTGTCTTCCTCGCGCTCTCTTGGCCTCCCCATCGCCGCCTCTTCCGAGGGACATCGGCTCCCCGGCCACGGCCCACCGCCGTCCTCGGCGTCCGGGGCCCCCGCCCAGCCCCCTCTGCACCTGCCCACCAAGCTGGTGATTCGGCACGGAGGGGCGGGTGGCTCGCCTTCCGTGACCTGGGCTCGGGCGTCCTCCTCCCTGTCCTCCTCCTCCTCCTCTTCCGCCGCCTCCTCCCTGGACGCCGACGAGGACGGCCCGATGCCCTCCCGCAACCGGCCTCCCATCAAGACCTACGAGGCCCGCAGCCGCATCGGCCTCAAGCTCAAGATCAAGCAGGAAGCCGGGCTCAGCAAGGTGGTCCACAACACGGCCCTGGACCCTGTGCACCAGCCGCCGCCCCCCGCCGCCCTCAAGGCAGCCG